CTGGGAGAGCTGCGCCGTCCCTCTCGCCCGCCCCGCTCCCCTGGCAGGATGCGGCCCAGGACGTCGCCTCCCGGGGCCCCGTCAAGCGCCGCGGCCGGGAAGGCGGCGAGGGAGGCGGCTCCCAGGGATGTTGCCGCGGTTCGAGCGCTTGGCTTGACAAGTAGCTGAAAAAAAGCCATATCTTTTTATGTGGCTGTAATTGCTGGATGTTTGACGGTCGTAGAATTTAGTTAACATCCTTGCTGTTATATTGATTTTTAATGTTTATTTGCAAAACCTCAAACGTGTGTCCAAGGTTTTGAACAGCTTCCCAGACTGATCTGCTAGGCCACTTCCCCTCCGATATGAAATATCATTTTTACAGGCTGGCAAAACGGTATTTAATGGTGGCTGACAGGGCCGTGGTTAAGGGCGATATGTATTGGACACTTAAACGCTTCTATTACCCCGCTCCTGGCACAGCCCATTGCGTTTTACTTGTGCTGGGAATTGCAGAAGGCTTTGCATTTTCCATCAGCGTCACGACGCCGCGGCCTCGGTGAGGACTCGGCCCCCGCCTCTCCGGCTCCTCCGAGGCTGTGGTCACGGCACGGGTGGCTGCTCCAGCCGTGGGGACGGTGCCTGAGCCGGGGGTCCCCTTTTTTGGGGTGGCCCTCGGCTGCAGACCTGTGAGCCGCCCCAAGGTGGCTGGCTGGGGTGTTTGTTTTTTTGGTTTTTTTGTTTTTTTTTAAGTCAAATGTTTGCTTTTGCGCGATGCCGGGGAGAACCGCCGCCGCTGCTGCCGCTGCCGTGCGTGGAGAAGAGGCTTTTGAGCACTCGAGTGCTGCTTCCAGGGCAGGCGCTTCCCCTCTTCTCCTTAATGCAGCTGCAGGGTTTTACACGAGGCGGGTAAATCCCTGCTTAAACGGCAGCAGAAGGGACCCACGTGCCGGGACCCACGTGCCGGGACCCACGGCCGCACCACGCCAGCCCCGTGCCGGGTGGGATGGAGCGTGCATCCCGTGGGAGCTTTGGAAGCAAAGCTGGAGCATCTTTGTGAGCAGCTCCCGTGCCCTCCTCGTGCAAAGGCTGCTGAGCTGCTCTCCGGTCGTTTCTCCACCGAGGCGAGCGCTGTCGGCACCCGAGTCCCCCCCGGCCCGGGTGCTGCCGGGGCCACCCGGGGCTCGCTCCCACCATCCCCCCTTCCCGTGCTCCGGCGCTGTGCGGGACGGGATTAAGGATTTAACAGCCTGTGCCAGATAGACACTTAAATAAGCAATAAATTTGGAGTTCGTTAGTGAGGATTAATTAGTGTTTGCGCAGGGCTTTGCCTGTGCCGAGCAGCAGACAGGAGCCCGAGCGGCGTTATTTATCTTGAAGCTTTGCCATGACCTTGTCGAGGTCGGGAGAGACTCGTCGCCTGGGTCCCATCGGGTTCCACCGTGGCTGCGCCCGGCGTGGTCCCTGGGGGTTGGGATCCACACCCCCACACCCCCCCCCCCTCCCAGAATTCAGGCCCAGGGGGTCCTCTGGGAGCTCGGCAGGCAGCGACCTGCTGCGTGACCCCGGAGCGGGCGTCCTCGCGTTGCAGAGCTGCTGGGCCCGGGGCTGGGGAGCAGCAATCCGGCGTTCGGCTGCGGGGGGAAGGCAGTGTTTGAGTGCAGGCACTTCTTGGGGGGGGGCTCTCCTGGGATTTTAGGGGCTCTCCCAGCCCCGTGGGGAGCAGGGGCTGGCAGCTGGGGAAGGGAGGCTGGCGTTGCGCTCCCCATCGCTTCGGCTGGGGTTGGGAAGGGGTGGAGGGGGGTGGCACGGCCGGTGGCAGCTCCTGCGGGCTCTGTCTCTGCCCCCCCACCCCCCCCCCCCCGGGGAGGCTGGAGCGGAGCCTGGGCTCCGTTTTGGGGTGCAGGGACGGGAGGTGGCGAGGCAGGGAGTGTTGGAGCGGGAGGGCTGAGCCCGCCCCGCCTCTCAGCCCCTCGGCTCAATTCGCCATCTCCGCGCGGTGGTTTTTCAGCGCAGCGACGGCCCTGGCACCGCGGTGCAGCACCGGGCTGTGAAATGAGGGGCCCTGGGGGGGATGCCCCAGGGGACGATGCCCCCACATCCATGGGGGGATGCCCCAGGAGGAGCGGGCAGCCCCCTCCTCCCCAGCATCTCGGACCCGCAGGATTTATCACGCCGCTCGACTCCAGCCGTGGCACAGGGCCGGGAATTTTTTTCTGGCACCGGCTAAATAATGGAGACACCGAGGAGGCCCTCGCCGGGGATGGGGATGGTGTGAACCGTCCTGCGGCGAGCCGAGGCGCAGCCGGGGAGCCGGCCTGACCATGGGGCTGAGACAGGGCCAGCAGCAGCTCCGGCTTCCCCCCGGCAGCAGCACGCTCCCACGCCTGTGCCGGGGCTTCCCTCTGGCCACCCGCCAGCCGTGCCGTCCCCACGTGCTCAGCCGGGGCTTTATTTCATGTGGGGCGAGGTAAAAAGCTCTCTCCCTGCCGGAAAACTGGCTTCGGGGCCAGCGAGCTGGCACTGCATCCCGTGCTGCCCGCCACAGCTCCGTGCCAGCCTCGTCAAACCCATCTCATTAGGTGCCAGGAAGCTTTTCTGTGCCACGAGTGATGTCGGGTGGATCCCCAGCTCCTTTCCAGAAGAAACCCCGTCTCCGCGGGTCCTGCACCCTGCCAGGCTCGGAACCTTGCGCAGGGGTTTTCAGCCGCAGCGGGCAGCAGGAGCCTCCCCCAGGGATGGGTTGGGCACTGGGTGCAGCACCTTGCGAGGTCCCTCGTGGGATCTGGCCCGTTCCCATCCCCGGGGCTGCGGCGTGGGGCGAGCAGCGACATGGGTGGAGGAGGGAACGGCTCTGAGGAGCAGCCTGGGAACGGCGTCGAGGACAATAAACTCTATCAAAGCCTCATTCATTATAGAAGAACACGGAGTGCGAGTGCTGGCATGTTTTTGTCCGCTCGCTCCCTCTCCCATCTGACTCCTCTCCTTCATTTCCTGCTGCTTTTGCCTTATCTCCCCTTTTTCAGTGGATTCCTCCCCAGCTCGGTGGGGCGTGCAGGGGGCCATTCCCCACGGCACCACGCCAGTGAGCAGAGTGATGTGCCGAGGGCCATCCTCCACCAGCGTGGGCTGGGGAGCTCCTGGGGTTGGGTTGGACTAGGTTGGGTTGGGTTGGGTTGGGTTGGGTTGGGTTGGGTTGGGTTGAGTTGAGTGGGGTTGGATTGGGTTGAGCTGGATTCAGTTGGGTTGAGTTGGATTGGGTTGGGTTGGGTTGAGTGGGATTGGGTTGGGCTAGGTTGGGTTGAATTGAGTGGGATTGGGTTGGGTTGAGTTGAGTTGGATTGGGTTGGGTTGGGTTGAGTTGACTTAGATTGGGTTGGGTTGGGTTGAGTTGGATTGGATTGGGTTGGGTTGGGTTGGGTTGACTTGGATTGGGTTGGATGGGGTTGGCTTGGCTTCTCCTCCCTCCTTCCTTCCCCCACATGCTGGCAGGGCCCAAAGGTGCCATAACCTTAACGGTGCCGATGCGGCCAACTGCAAAAGCATGTCCAAAGTCCAGCACACTGCTGGTGAGGGAGCGGGATCTGCCACGGAAAGCTACGTCCTTCCCTCTGGGAGCGGTGCCGAGCAGCAGCAGCCCCTTGGCATCGCTCTCGGAGCCGGCTCCGTCGTGCCGCCGCACCGCATGCTGCGCCCGGGGCTGGTGGTGGCACGGTTTGTGGGGGACAAACCCCTTGGGGGGCGGTGGCTCTGAAGACACCATCTCTGGCCTGGGGGTTGCCGTCTCCAAAGCCTTGCCACGGGGACGGTGACCAGGGACGCTGCCCCGTGCTTCGGCTGCTCTTGGGGACGGTGACTGGGCAGGAGGGACCCCTGCCTGCAGCCCTGCCTGCAGCCCTCCCCGGGCAAAGCCAGGGGTCGGGGGACACTGTTCCTGGCACTCGGGGTGGGGAGCGGAGGCATTGCCAGCCTGGGTGACAGCTTTGTCCCCACCCTGGCTCTTTTCTGGCCCGTCGTGATGCTGCGGGGCGCTGGGGGGAGGGCGAGCAGCACCCACGTCCTATATTCTGTCCATTTTGTACGTGAACTTACACAGCTCACCAGGCTTGCTGCTGCTCCAGGAGACCTGCTCGTGCGGGTGCAGCTTGAGCCCTTCCCGGCCCCTTCCCGCTTCCACCTCATTCCCAAACCCCCCCGCTGCCGTTTCTGCTGGAAAACTCCCCTTTTTGCTCAGTCTTTGAAGGGGTTTTATCGCTGCGAGAGGCCCCGAGCAGCTGATGGGCAGCGAGCAGGGAGCTGTCCTCCGGTTCCCTTTACTGAGCATCTCATCCTGCAAGTGCTGTTAATCACTGGCGGCTAACGAGCTTGTCTAACGAGCAGCTTTAGTGCAGGAACCGGCGTGAGCAGGGGCCGTGGACCCGGCTTGCCCAGCTCGCTTCATGACAGAGCTCTTTTGAGCTTGATTTTCCCCTCCCGCGGGCGGTGGGTGCTGTGCCGCGGCGTTTTGGGGTGGCGAGACCTTTGATGCTTCCCCCTGCGAGCGGAGAGCCCCGGGCAGCACCTGCCACGGGGTGTGTGGGACCTGGGGGGGCTGGCGAGAGGGGATAGGGTGCTCGGTGGAGGTGGCCAGAGAGACCCTGGCCATCCTCCCCCCTCCCCAAAATTCCCCTCTATCCCTTCCCCTTCTAGAAGCCGCCACGTGAACTCGGAGATTCTCAGCCTGGCACCGCGAGGTGACCGCTGGCGCGTCCTCCTGGGAGGATGCTCGTGTCATCCAGGGGCTCCCCTCGGGGTTTCGGCGGAGCCGGGGCTGCGGCGATGCTTGGGGAGCCCACCCCGGGGGGGCAGGAGCGAGAGGGCACCCATGGGAGCGGGCGGGGGGGGGGGGGGTGCTAGCTGCACCAGCTTCGGGGTGCCTGCTGCGGAGCGGAGAGCCTGCCCGCAGGGCCGCTCATCGCAGGGTGGTTTTTGGGGGGGGGGGCTCCCCCTGACCTGTGCCCCTCTCTCTGCCCCCGCTGCAGGACAAGAACAGGAAGCTGAGGCCCCTCTACGACATTCCCTACATGTTCGAGGCCCGGGAGTTCCTGCGCAAGAAGCTCATCGGGAAGAAGGTACGGAGGGGACGGGGACGGCGGCGGGGTCCCTGCGCGTCCCCGGCGCGGGCGGGTGCGGACGAGGGGCCGGGAGCCGGCGGCGGGTGCCGCGGGGGGGCCTTACGAGTGACCCGGGGGCTCCCCGGGGGGGCCGCGGGGTGCACCCAAAGCTGGAGCACCCTCTGTGCCAGCCCCTGCGAGGGGCTGCGGTCCCGCTTTCAGCTGCGTCCGTTGCCCAGGAATGCTGAGGGCCTCCGTCGCTTTGTATTTTCCCTTTGTTTCCCCGGCATATTTTTCTAGGCCGGTTTAGAGCAATTCAGGGGAATGAAGAATATAATGTGCACTTAACTACTGAAGCACATGCTCAGGATGCAATTTTCAAATGCTCATAAAATGGTCAAATAAAATCAATTTCCTTCATAGCGAGGCTGCTCGCTGCTGCTCATTGAGGACTATTTCCATGCCTAATTGCATCTTTCCATTTCAGAGCCCTGTTTATATTTAAAAAAAAAAGAAAAAAATAGCAGCTTGTGAGACTTTTCTAATGGGAAGTCTGCCACTTGTCATAGTCAAATGTGGCTGCGAGGTTGTTGCTGGGACTTGTGGGGAGAGCTGCGGTCTCTGAACTGGAAACCTCGGCAGCGTCGCGGGCTGAGCGCTGCCGGCCACCCCGGGGATCACCGGTGCTGGTTTTCCTCCGGCTGCCGTCGCTTTGCTGTCTCCCACCCCGCCATGCTTGGCTGTTGCTCAAAACCACCCTTTTTCTCCCCAAACCTGTTGGCAGTCCCCCTGGCAGCAGGAGGCGGGGAGCGGCACAGCAGCCAGCCTCCGCTGTCCCCCGTGCCCAAAGTGGGGAGCCGGTGACCCCAAGAAATAGAAGCAAAAAGCCATTTGCCTCCGAGTGCCTCCAATCTCCATTTTTAAAGCTCCCCATAACCTTGGAGCGAGCTGCGGCGGCGCGCGCCGGGCTCCTGCCTTCGCTGGGCTGGTAGCCCTGGGAGCCAGGCGCCCGCTCGCCTTTGATGTTGCCTCGTTTGCTTTATAAATATTTCCTTTGTCAGCTCCACGTTTTTCACTTCAGATTAATTTGATTGAGGAAAGCGATGAAAAAAAAATCCTTTCCCTTAATGATCAAAACAGTCCCTCGGGGTTGGCGGCGCGTTCTGATTTGAAATGACAGCCCTGCACGGGGTCGCTCGCCCTTGCCTTCTCGCGGCTCGCTGTCGGCATCAATCTTTGCGGCAAAATCCCTCTTTTCCCACCCCCTTTTTTTATAGACTTTTAAAGCCCACCCCGGCGGGCAGCTCCTGACAGTTTTCTGCTCGCGGGGAGATCAAACAGGGTGGGCTGGCACCGATACGCAGCGCTGCCTGCGGCGTCAGCACGGCTCCAGCACCGTGCGCGTTTGCAGGGGTGCCCTGGGGAGCCCTGCCCGTTCCGGGGAGCCCTGCCTGCCCATTTTGGGGAGCCCTGCCCGTTCCGGGGAGCCCTGCCTGCCCATTTTGGGGAGCCCTGCCTGCTCTGGGGAGCCCTGCCTGCCCATTTTGGGGAGCCCTGCCCGTTTCAGGGAGCCCTGCCTGCCCATTTTGGGGAGCCTTGCCCATTCCGGGGAGCCCTGCCTGCCCATTTTGGGGAGCCCTGCCTGCTCTGGGGAGCCCTGCCTGCCCATTTTGGGGAGCCCTGCCCATTTTAGGGAGCCCTGCCTGTTCTGGGGAGCCCTGCCTGCCCATTTTGGGGAGCCCTGCCCACTTTGGGGAGCCCTGCCTGCCCATTTTGGGGAGCACTGCCTTTTCTGTAGAGCTCTGCCTGCTGATTTTGGGAAGCCCTGCCCCTTCTGGGGAGCCCTGCCTGCCCATTTTGGGGAGCCCTGCCTGCTCTGGGGAGCCCTGCCTGCCCCGGGGACCCCTGCCCTCTCCGGAGGGGCTCCCTTCCCGCAGAGCCCCGGGATCGACTGATGTCCAGGATCCTCTGGAGATCGGGATCTCCGGGCCCGCTCCGGCCGTGCTCCCGGCATCCCCGGCCGCGGGTCCCCGGGGGCTGTGGTGGGCGACGGGTGCCGAGCGACCGCGGCCGCGCTGCCGTGGGTGTGGGGTCCCCCTCCACTGCAGGGGACTCGAGGTTCGGGGTCTGCCCTGTGCACCCCCGGCACCTACCCCAGCCTGGCCCCCGGGGATGCCGTCCCGCCGCCTTTTGCTGCCTTGGGAAGGGCTGACACGGCTCGAGGGGGTCGCGGGAGGGCTCACCGCCGGCGGAGCGCCATCAGCCCCCTTCGAGATCGAGGAATTGAATATTCGGAATAATTAGGCCAGGGTGAGTTGTTGGCCTCGCTGCCGGTGCTTCTGGGATGCGGAGGCGGGTGCGGCTTGGCGGGGGGGATTGGCCGCGGTGCCGGGCGGTGAGCGCGGCGGTGGGCAGGGGAAGGGATGTGGGGAGCAGGCAGGGAGGCAGCGGGCAGGAGGGCAGGCAGGGATGCAGGCAGGGATGCAGGCAGGCAGGGATGCAGGCAGGGATGTGGGCAGGGATGGATGCAGGCAGGGATGCAGGTAGGGATGCAGGCAGGGATGGATGCAGGCAGGAGGGCAGGCAGGGATGCAGGCAGGGATGGATGCAGGCAGGGTTGAATGCAAGGATGCAGGCAGAGATGAATGCAAGGATGCAGGCAGGGATGAATGCAGGCAGGGATGAATGCAAGGATGCAGGCAGGGATGCAGGCAGGCAAGGATGCAGACAGGAATGCAAGCAGGGATGGATGCAGGCAGGTAAGGATGCAGGCAGGCAGGGATGCAGGTAGGGATGCAGGCAGGGATGCAGGCAGGTAAGGATGCAGGCAGGCAGGGATGCAGGTGGGGATGCAGGCAAGGATGCAGACAGGAATGCAGGCAGGGATGCAGGCAGGCAGGGATGCAGGTAGGGATGCAGGCAGGGATGCAGGCAGGTAAGGATGCAGGCAGGCAGGGATGCAGGTGGGGATGCAGGCAAGGATGCAGACAGGAATGCAGGCAGGGATGCAGGCAGGCAGGGATGCAGGTAGGGATGGATGCAGGCAGGCAGGAGGGCAGGCAGGAATGCAGGCAGGGATGCAGGCAGGAGGGCAGGCAGGGATGCAGGCAGGCAGGGATGCAGGCAGGGATGCAGGTAGGGATGGATGCAGGCAGGGATGCAGGCAGGCAGGAGGGCAGGCAGGGATGCAGGCAGGGATGGATGCAGGCAGGAGGGCAGGCAGGGATGCAGGCAGGGATGCAGGTAGGGATGGATGCAGGCAGGAGGGCAGGCAGGGATGCAGGCAGGGATGGATGCAGGCAGGAGGGCAGGCAGGGATGCAGGCAGGCATGGATGCAGGCAGGAGGGCAGGCAGGGATGCAGGCAGGGATGGATGCAGGCAGGAGGGCAGGCAGGGATGCAGGCAGGGATGGATGCAGGCAGGAGGGCAGGCAGGAGGCAGCAGCCCGTCTCTCCCACCCTGGGGCCGTGCCCCACTCCCACCAGTGGCCGCCTGCGCTGGCCCCACGGCAGCCTCGAGGCGGGCTTGCCAGGGCAGGCGAGCAGCCAGCCCTCCCAGCTTCCCCGGCACCCTGCTGCCTGTCCGTCCGTCCGTCCGTCCGTCCTGCAGGGACACTGCCAGCTCCGGCTGCTTCCAGCACGAGCCCCAGCGCCTGGCCGGGGGCGGCCGCGCTCCCCCCGGGCTGCCGGATGCCGCCGGCCTGGCGCAGCAGGTTGAAGCCTTGCCTCCCACCACCCATTTTCCACCACCTTTTCTGAACAACCCCCCCCCCCCCCCGCCCTCCCGGTGACAAGATCCCCCACGTCCCCCCCCCAGCCCCGGCGCACCGCTGCTCCCCGTCCTGCCGAAACGCAGCGCGACAGCTTCCCCTGGGCCCCCCCCCCGCCCCCACAGCAAAAATAAACCGCTGTGACTGCTTCCAGCAAGAATTCCCCCTGTTCCCCCCCTCCCTCTGGAGAAAGCACCGAAGGGAGAAGGGGAAGAGATCCCCCCACGGCCGCCCCTTCGCTTTCGCTCCTCGCGCTGGGAGACGAGTGGGGCTGTGGGAAACCACGTCTGAATTCCCAGGGCCTTGGGGGGCAGACGGAGCAGAATTTCTTTTCTCTCCCTCCCCCTTCCCTCAAAGCAGCGTGAAGTTTCCGAAGCCGGGAATCTTCGCGGCGCGTTGTTTTTCCCTTTATCGGGGGGGGGGTGGGGGGGGTGGGTTTGTGTTTTGGTTTTTTTTTTTAATTTTTTTTCTCGGCTGGCCTGCCAGCTCTCGCTGCGCCGATGCCGGCACCCTGCACCGCCACGGCACGTGCCCCGGCGCAAGAGCTGCTCCCGGCAGCCGCGGGAGTGACCCGGCACGCTGGAATTTGCCCGGCGGTGCGGGATGAACCGGCTGCCGCCGCCCCTGCTATGGATTTATCTCCCGCGGTGGAATAAATCTCTGGTGCGTGGCGGGGTGGGGGACGGCTCCCCCCCCGCCCCGGCACAGGCACTGCCCATCGATTGCGGCGCTGGGCGTGCACGGCCCTTAAGCAGTTTTTTTTAATTACGCCATCGCGCAGGCAATTGAATCGAGTCTAAATGGGTGCTCTTGGCCCTTTCCTCTAATTAGCTGGGGGGGGGGGCGGGGATTAATCGTTCGGACGGAGGGAGACGACACGAGATAATAATTCATGGAAAAATAGACCTTGTGCATGGAAGCGATTCAGTCCTTGCCTTAAGAGCAGCTCTGCGGCCGGCGGGCGGAGGGGCGGCTCTCCCCGGGGTGCCCAAGCACCCCAGGGTGCCCAAGGGGCTGCTCCCCTAAGGACGTGGGGCTCTGGGGGCTCCGCAGGATGCCCCTCACCCACCCCACTCCGCAGGGTTTTCGGTGCCTCCGGCCTCGGTGCTGGGGGCCGTGAGTTTGGTGGGGACCCGGGAAGGTCCCTGGGGACACCGAGGGGTGGTGGCGCTGGGGTGAGCCCCCTTACCTGCCCGGCAGCGGGCCCCGGGTGGGGGGTGCAGCTTCAACAAGCAAAGGCGAGCATTT